TGTCCAATGTGTTCTACAGCAGAACTAGATTTGATCTAGCAAAGTAACACCATTCTATAAACAGTCGGAACGACCCTATTTAATGTGCAGATTACTTACTGTCCAATGTGTTCTACAACAGAACTAGATTTGATCTAGCAAAGTAACACCATTCTATATAATAAAGCTGCAATTCCATAGAACTGCTGAAATTAACCTTATCAGTGTATCGCGTTCTTTAGCATTACCATGTTTAACTTACTAACGTCACACATATATTTTATTGCCCAAATGAACCTGGTAAAGCTGCAGTTAGTCAATTTTAAGTATTCTATGCATTACTGGATTTAACCCAGTAAAGCCATACTCTTATATATTACTACCAGAATTAACTTGTGACCTAGTAAGCTACAATTTTGCTGCTGGAATAAACTTATTCAGTTTGAAGTGTTTTATAACTTTGATGGGTTTAACCTAGTAAAGTCAAAATCCCGTATATTTTTACTAGAATGAATCCAATAAAGCCTTTTTTATTACAAGTTACAGCTTTCACAGTAAAGAAGAGTATTTTTTAAAACAGGTACGACGTTTCGATCACTGGTGCGATTATTCTCAAGTACTTATAAAATTCTTGGAAAAAAATAGACAGTTGGAAATGTTCTGTAGCATTATAGAACTTAAACAAGGAAAGCTACACGTTATTAGTAGAATGAACCAAGTAAATAAATATAGAACATAAAATGACGACACCAACGTTCCACAGACACAATAATTATATTTATATAAGGTAAAAAAAGAAACACGTTCTACATGTTTCGGTGAACAAAATTATCCACCATCTGAAGATGAAGAGCGTATTTCTTTTTAGCCTTATACAAATAAAATTATCGTGTATGTGGAAACGTTGGTGTCGTCACTTTATGTTCTATTTTTATTGCAAGTATGTACAAGGGCTGTTAGTTTATGTATTGAGAACCTACATTTCTACAAGACCTGCTGAAATACGCTTGGTAAAGAGGTAGAGCCGCACAAAATTTCTGCATTTAATTTAATAGAGTCGTATTTATACATAATACCGCTAGAGTAAACCCAGCGATTTTATTTAATTTTGTGAAGTTAAACACAAAGCAACACAATAGGCTATCTGTGCTCTGCCCATTACGGGTAACGAAACTCGGTTTCTAGCGTTGTAAGTCCGCAAACATACCGCTGTGCTACTGGGGGACAAATCCAGTGAACTGCAGCTCTGTAAAACTGTAGGAATAAACTTATTCAATTTCAGTGGTTTATAGCATTACTCGACTTAACCTAATAAAATTGAAACTCTATAAAATTGTTATTTTCCTAATGAATCTCAATAATCTATAATATAACTAGATTTAACATTGTAAATTCATAAAGTTAATTACTCTTTACGATGATGAACCGTAATATAAAATAGATGTAATAAACTTACAGTGATCTTTACTATTACTAGTATTAACTTAGTAAAGTTTTACAAGATTGAACTTTCGAATCTACAATTCAATAATTCTTATAATAAGAAGAGTAAATGATGCCATAATAAGGCCGGTCACGGTTTTGCTGCAGCTGGCCAGATTTCCTCTTTTTTTTTCTGACATTCTGCACAGTCTACAAGATTGAAAACGTGTTATTTAACAATTATGAATTGATTATATTAATATACCTTTCCC